ACCCCTTCAAATGAAGTGTTACTGAAAATACAGTTTTTGTTTCTTCTTTCAAGTAACTGTTGGTACCTTTTCAAGGCTAATTCATTCCTATTCATGTTTTTCTCTTTTAGAAAGTCTTGTCACTTCAAATAGAAAAAAAAAAAATGAAGACCGCAGATGGCAAGGATAACATGGAGTCCAAAACAGAACAGTTTGCCTGTCCACATTGTACATCTATGTTAAGCACATACCGAAATTTAACAAGGCACATTAGGGATGTGCATTATATAGAAAAGACACCGATGACGTGTGTTGACTTTGTACACGGACTATATGCGACTCCAAAACATGACCACAGTCCTGTTTTTCCTATTCACGTCATGAAGTCGACAAACCCACCAACGATTGACTGCGAGTTGGAGCAATGCCGCAAGTTCATGCAAATAGCATGGTCGTCAGGTAATCCAGGGAAAGAATGTGTTCACCTTGAAAGAACAAAGCATGCCAAGCAGTATGTCAAACCAGCAGTACTAAAGTCAGCCTCACTTCAGGACATGCTTAGCAAAGGCTTGATGTCATCAGAATGGGCTGCAAAATGTGAAAACCTTGATCTGGCAGTTAAGAACATCAATGTAGACAGTGTGTTCCCTGTGATTTTTGGAGAGAACAAAGTCCCTCAACGTTGGTATTTTTTTTCCATCTTCACAAATGAAACTGACAGCTGGTGTCAATTTGGAAGAACAAGAGTTGTTTTTGATTCAGTGGCTGGAAAATGGAACTGCCAATGCAAGGGAAGTGGAAAATCCCATCGTTGCATTCACAGAATGATGGCAATGTGGTGGATTTACCAGGAGTCACCAAACACTGTGATGATGCAGTCTGATGTGCAGATTGATGATATAGAAGACTTAGAAACTCACATGCTAGACAGTACCATATATTCTGCAGAGCAAAAAATGACCACACAAAAAATATGTTCAATGACTCTACATATATACACATAAGCGTATCCCTTGCCTACAGGACTTACCAATAAAATTAAGAACATGTGAGGAAGTGCCACCACCATGCTTTTTGCCTTCTGAAAGCACCTGTCCATACTGTCCAGGACCTACCCCTCCAGAGCTTAGTCCATCCAAGATAGTCACCTCACAAGCCACGGTTTATGGCATTAGTTATGTCAAAAAAGGTGAGTATAAAGCGTTCCTCTGCATTGTTCTAGATATATAAGCCATATTTTGTTTAAGTGACGTTATGTTACTATAAATGTATGCATTTTCAGGCAGCTGCATTGTGTATTTACTATAAACTAATGCAAGTTATAATTTAATCTATAGGTATCTCAGTTGCCGAAAAAGAATGCCCAGTTTGTTGTAACATTGTGAGATTCCAAGACTATACTTCAGGTTTTCACAATTTCAACAACAATGTCCTTCTTACGCTTCCTTTGTGTGAGCTTCTGCTGTCAGGCCTGGCGGTGAGGAAAATTAAAGCCAAACATCAATAATGGTTGTTTTTGAGTTTTTCATTTTTAAAAACTAAAATTTCTTGTTATGTCTGTAAATATGTGTTTACTCACAGAACAAGTCAACAAGTGGACGGATGTTGGAGACATTATCCTTCTTTAATGACAACAGATACCATCATCAAACTGTCCGAAAGGCATTTCATCACTTTCTTTCTCTGACAAACTTTAAATTTGACTTCTCGTGTTATCAGTGTGGACACCACCCACCGGTAATAATAGCGGATGCAAACTGGAAACTGGCTTTTGACATACCACGTAAGACTTTAGTTATACATGTACATTAACAAGACAAACATACATTTTAAAAATTTTAGTATTTGGATAAAGTTATGATTTTGTGTTTTGAAAGTATGTATGTACTGAGAATTTTTTTTAGAGAAATTAACTTAAATTTTAATGTCACTTTTTGTATGTTGATACATTGTTATATATCCATGCATTATGAGTGTCTTGTTGTTTTGCAGTTGGCACATTTAAAAGACCAAATCCTGATGACATTTCTGACAAGGAACTTGAAGTTGATATTGTTAAGGCGTGGTCCGATTTAGACAAATCAATAATCGCAGATGCCCTCATTTCAGGTATTTATTAATTTGCTGTGTAGAACTGCAGTAAAGAGAAGTCATATTAATGAAAGACCATATTTTAAGTCAAGCCATGTTACCGAAGTTAAATAATTATGTCATGATTCATATTTTCATTAAAGGAACAACAGTTGCGAATCCATTCAGCACATCAACTCAACACTCGACTTTGGCACCCTGGATGGGACAGCACACCCGAGTTGGAAACGTTCTTCCAAAAACCGAAATGAAAAAGGCATTGAAAAAAAAACAGGACAACACCACACATACAACGAGAGAGATAAACGAAGACATAATTTTGGAACTCATCGAATCCAAAAAGGTGCATTATGTGTTTCACTTTCAGCACAGTAGTCACAATTTTATGTTCTATTAATGAAAACATATCTCTCAAATTGCCAGCGTTCCAAGAAGGATCTTCAAGATGCTTGCCTTTCTCTGGTTGTGTCATCTGAGGGGACAATAGCAGAGCTCATTAATAGGCTCCAGGAACTGCTATGTTTTAAAGATGTCTATCCTAAACTTTTCCTGAAGCTGCAGAAAGCTGGTGGTGAGTCTTTGGTTTTTACTTTCCATTTTTGTTAGTATTGTGATGGACAGCTTATTTATTAATTTTTTTTTTTCAATTTGAAGGTGGTGTCCTTCACCTCTCATGTATGCATGGTGTCGTTTATTACGTGAACTTCCTGTTCTGGATGGAGTCTGCCAGAGATCATGCAGACGGTTTGCTGAGCTTTAAAAACCTCCCTACATGCTACATTTCAGATGTAGCTGGCCAGGTCACAAGACACACCAACAACCGCACCAAACAGCTCTACTTCCATCTCATGATGGCCGACTTTGTGCCCCAACGGCAGAAAACATCAAAAAAGCAGAGCAAAAGGAATTACAGATTAACATGGAGTGGGTCAAAAAATTGAGATGTCCTTTGCCAATGCATACAGACGACGGGATCAACCAATTTGTACGACAACATCCATTAACAGGGACATGTGAGAGATATTCTCTGTATGACAGAT